AATTGGGAAGGCTCAGCCAAAAGCAGCACTCCTCCAGGAAAACAGACCAAACATTTACATGAGCCTCTTGATTACTACTTAATACCACCAATTCACTACAACACAAAATGAAAAACCCAGCCAACTATACTCCCTGTATAGTTGGGAATATATATAGTTATAGAGTGTGTGCACGTTTGTATATATGTGTATGTAATACATGTAATATATGTAATATATGTGTGTGTGCATATATATATGTATATATATGTAAACATTAACGCAAGCATATATATGCCTTTATAGACCATTATAATCTCTTTCAGACCCTAACTCCAAGCCCACTTATCCAGGAGGGAAACTTGTTACCTTTACCTTTGCTCACACTCCTCTCTGCTCCACCAGCATAAACTATTTGTTGTTCTCAAATTGTCTAACTGATTAGTAAAATTAGATTAATCCCAGCACAACTATTTCCAGCATGTGTGTTGCTTGAAAACCGTTGCTCTGTTTCTGATCTCAGAAAAAGCTCATGTGCTGGAACGTTTGTATGATTTTGAACATCAGCCAGTATGCAAGAAGAATGCTGCTTCATAAATACTGATTTTAATTAAAGTATTGAGGAAGTGTTAGTCAAGTATCACAAACTCTGTGAGGGAGGATGCCCACACATGAAAAAAATGACATCAAAATGAGAATTCTCCAAAATAGTTTCTGTACTTGCGTGCCTCATTGACTAAAACACAGAGGGCCTAATATCTCGCAATACCTAGTCGCTCTTAGGGGACAGTACCTATCAATTAAAACCTCAGAATATAAACCAGGCTATCCTTCAAAGGACTGCTGAGAATTAAACCAAAGAAGTATTATCTCATTTTTATAGATGACACAGTTAAAATCAAAAGAAATACCTGGGCCAACAGCACAGGCTGAACTGGGCATACACCAGGACCCCGGCTCCAGACAATCCAGCTCAGCATCCCGTCCTCCTTTCACAGAACGTGTTACTTTATTGCAATGGCAGCTCTCAAATTACTTTAGTTGGTTGTTAGCGTTTGGTAGACCTACAACATAGGCAGGTACTTGGTGCCTTAATTTAGAAACCACGCAACAGTGGCCATCTGTTCTCTTCACTATTTTTAAAGCAACTTGTCCAGACTCAGGTAGGAAATTCAAGGCAGAGGTAGATCTAATTTCTCGGAAGGCATTCACCTGCCCAGACTATGGGACAATCTCCAGGCTGACCCTGGTTCATATGCTGCCTTTCTTTCTCAAAACACACCAAAAGGAGGCAAAGTTCTGCAGATGAGGGGTTTCTTTTCATAAATAGCACACAAATATGTTTGCTTCCTTCAAGAATCCTGTGTTCTTCCGATATGATCCATGTGGTATATGTTGTTTGTAACAACTGTTCCAGAATGATTGGTTGTAAATCTCAGATAATTTTTTAATCTCGGCTTAAGAGTATAAGAAGCATATTTGTAAACTGTATCCTTAAGATACTTCACCTTTCTCACGCACTGAGTCATCAAGCAGAGGTAAATTGTGTAGTGAAAAGCAAACAAATCTCACATTTGCAATTGCAAGTGTAAAAGTTCATCACTGTACTTTGCTTATTTGATGAGTTTTTTGAAGTGCTGTATGATCTACTTTTGCTTCTTTCTTATTTCATGAAATGGATTTCCCCATAAAGAATTTACATGATTCAAATCTTTACATTTATTAGCTGTATGGCATTTAAGAGATCTGCTAAAGATAGCAAAAATCAAATAATGAGTATATAATGCAATCCTACATTTCAGTTATGCTCAGGAACTGAGCATAAAGGTTGGATGAGCAAATGAAAGGCAATAATTTATCATGCTTATTCACCTGTCCCATAGATGCTGTTTTATAAACATTTCTTGTTGTATCTGTTAAGAACAATTTCAAATTTAATTTCTTACACATTATCTGAGAGGTTTTTTCCCCACTAATACAGACATCAATTCTCCTTTGGATGTCTTTAGCCCTTCTAACAGTTGTCTTTTAGCTGCTCTGGAAGTTATGGTCCTAATTTGCCTGTCAGTTTCCTAACTTTGACAGTGAGGCACTTCAAGGGTAAGAACCAGAAGCGTTCCTTGGACTAAATTTTGTTCACCAAAAATGTAACTTAAAGGATTCAAAACTACTCCTAAACTTAGGCTGAATTTGACAAACCAAAACAAAGCAGGGAACTGAAGCATTCTATCTCAGTAGTTTCGAAACAGCAAAAAAGCATTTTCATCCTCTTTTTAGAACTGTATAAAATTTTAATTAATGGTTAAGAATGATTAAGCCTCTAAGTTGAAGTAAAATATTCCCAAAATACTATTTTATTTTATTTTATTAAAAAAAAAAAAAAAAGGTTTGTAAACATGTTTTCTCTTGTTTCTCTTTGTCGGCTTAACTAGCAAACCAAAAAAAAAAACCAAACAAACAAATTGAACTGAGCAAATAATCTAAGAATACTATTTTACTAACCTAGATGGTGAAGAAATGTTATTTACAGAATCTCTTAAGAACTCATATGTCTCCACAACTGTGTTCTCAGAATTGGCTGATATGTCTTTCCCAAAATTTTATTTCCTCTTAAATGAGAATGCATTAGTCAGGCAAAATGAAAAATTAATCTTATTATTTAAATGAAAAGAACACTGATAGGCATTTTATGTTTCTTGCAGTCTGTTCCTAGCACACTACTTCTATCCAAAAGGATAATTTGTTTCATATCCGAGTGGTTCCCATGGGACAAAAGTAATAATTTCTAATGCTTTACTTCAAATTGCAGCTCTGTCTTGATCAGCATTCACAAATTTGGAGCTGTCAGTCAGCCACCAGACTTCTAATCACACATCACTTGTTACCACTTCCAGAACAGGCTGGACCACCCTCTCCCTGACCCTCACCCTGTTTTTACAGACACTCTTCCTCAGCAAGTTAGTCTTGTTCAGTGCAGTGTTTAAAGTCAGTCACAGTTTGAATGGAAAAATCCTGCGTATTTGCTCTTTCACCATCTTCCTTTGTCACCTTCTAATTTCCTGTGCTCTTCAGAGCTCCCTTATGCGCACTTAAGAAAGAGACTTAAGGAAATGGGAGTCTGCATAAAAAGCAAACAGTCACAGGCTCTTCCTCTCTTTTTCCCATCACTCTTCCTCCACTATTGAACTGCCATCTGTTTTTCCTAACTGTTTTAGAAAAGCCAACAGGAAACTTAAGCCGATCAACATTTTGATATGTGATTTGGCCCACACTTGATTATTTTTACACTGAGATGCTCTGTGCAAAGATCAGGCCTCATGCTGTGGGAGCACTGTAACACACAGTTAGTTCTGCCTCTGTGACAATAATGACGTCTCCAAATTGGAACGTAGCTACAGTAGCTCATGGCACACAGACACAAGCAGTGGCACATCCTTACAGTATCACCTCCCATGTTCACAATTACACAAACAAGCTCAGTTGTGTAATAGAATCACTTGTTCTTATAACAAAACATCCCAAAGTGTATCAATTTCACTGGGAACAACCCAGTTGCAGGGACTGCTTAACCACACTGCTAATATAATCAAGGCTGCACTAAGCCAAGCTATTGCTGCTGCGCAAACAACTTACATAAACACATTCTTATGTTCTTTTTCCTTGACATTTTTCCTACACTTTAAAAAAAAAACAACTGTGCTACAATAAGTCTGCCAAAAGTCTAAACTGAATAGTGTCAGACACAAATAGATGGATCTAGCATTAATGTGGCCATTGTCAAGATGAATTAATCTCCACGAAGGCCAAAAAAAAAGCCAAAGAAATATTTTTAAGTAATATCATTCTTCCTGGTGCACTTCAGAATGAGAACAAGAAGAAAGTATACTCCTAAAACACTATGGGAATCGTTGGCATAAAGAAAAACTTATAAACCAAGTTCACTGCATTTCCATAGGAAAGACGAGGGTAGGCTGCAGCAATGCAAGCTCCTCGCATGCTCTGCTTCCTCCAATGCACCAGACGCAAATTAAAAAGCAGCACACACAAGTGAAAGTAAGCAAGTTTAAACTTTGGCTTACTTTCAAAGACAACAAATTAATGCCAACATTTTACTCATGTGGAACCCACTCATCATGTCTTGCGCAGAGACCACTAGTTAATTCAGCATTTAAACATGTTTACACCTACCCACCCGTCATTATATTGCTACATGTGAACATTCCTGAACTTTATGAAATAATGGATGATTTAACACTCATCCACTCATCCAATCAAATCCACTCATGAATAAAAATCATGTCTGTGTCTCACAGCTTGCTTGCTTCCTCTCAAATTTCCCTTCCTCTCTTAGGAACATGAACTGCTATACGCTATCCCCCACACTCTCTTTCTGCTTTAAGTCTCTCAATCCATTACGAGCTTTCCTCTCCGGCCTCTCTTCATGCTTTCCACCATCTATTTTGTAACACACACAAAAATAGCTGTGGTAGAAGTGTGACATATATGGAGCTCTAAAAATAAGTGATGTCTGAACTGGTTCTTCGGCAGTTTTTTAGGAGAAAAAAACCTGCACAAAATATTTAATTTTTACTGGAGGCCGAATTGGTCTTTTAATCAGTTTCTGAAAAAGATAAATCGTGTATTGATATTTTTTGAGCAAAACACTGTATTAAAGCAAAATGAAATCACAGAACAATTAAACGATTCAGAACCTGCTTCTTTTCCATAGTAAAAGAAAAAGACATTTTTGTCTAAGAAGTTTTGCCCAAATCTAAGTCCATACAGACAACATCAGATGAAGGTACAATCAAGATTTGTGGGGATAAGACATTCCCAACAGAGTACTGTTACCTTTAAAAGCTGTTTTAATGATGAGGAGCAGCAGAAGATCAGTCACAGAAAATATAAGCTTAGCAAGGTCCTCAATCTAGTCCATTTCCCACACACAAAGAAACTACACCGAAAAGGACTAGAGAATATCCCAAACATATCCCAGAGCAAAGCAAAACATAACAACTTACTGTCTTCTTCAACATTTTGACGGCGTAAGGTTTCTGGGTCCCTTTCTGCCTGCATCTGTAGACAATGGACGTAGCCCCACTAAATTAAAAAGAAAAAAAAAAAAAAGGAAGAATAGTTGTACATACGCCTCTTATTGTCAAATAAATGTCAATAAACAGAGTTGCCTACCTAAAACTACATTTTCTACTCCTCCCAGTTTGGGCAATAATACCTCATTTTTCCCCACAGCTGAAAAAAAAAAAACCAACAAACAACCCACAAACCAATGTAAAAACTGTTCTCCTCTGAACCAGTGAACTTCAGCAGTTATTCAGTCAACAGAACTTGCAGGAGCTCAAGATGCCTCTTGGTGACACCTTTTCTGGCTCCTCACACATCCTGGAGGTCTTCTCACGTAAAAGGAACATAATCCATCCCCAAATCTGTGACATCGTATCTTGTCCTTGTTAAAGAAACCCATTTGCAACAATTTGTTGCACTGGGTTTTTTTACTAACTATTGATGGCAGTAATGGGAAGTTAGATAGAAAAGCAGAGAAGAGATAATTACGGTGCTGCTCCACGCCCAGTTGCCCAAACAGTCAAATTCAGCATCAAATGGAGCGAGAAGCACTTTTGGTTAATTCAGTGGAAACTGGTGGGCCTTGTTCATAGCAAAACTGAACTGGGCTTACATCTTCCGATTGCCTTCAAGGTGTACTCACTTGAATGTGCTACATCTGAACACTTATACCATAAAATTATGGCTTTGCTGGTTGGAAGGCACTTCTCAGAGTGGGAAGGTTAGGCTAGACAGTCTCCAGAAGCAGGCTCAGCTGCTGAGTTTACTTGCTGTGCTCTACTTGTTACGGTCAAGGACAGGACCTGTACTCTATGAATTAGCTAAAGGGCGGAAAAACATCTGGCAAAACCATAATGGTTACAAACCATTCAGATACCTTCATATTCTACCACACTTACTTTTAGATGCTGCTGAGCAAGCCAGTGTCAGCCACCATTAAAATGGATGCAGTGAAGGGCTATGTGCCACCATTGGATTTAAGGCATTTTTGGAAGCCTCCTGTCCTCAGCAGATTTGTCACCCACTCTTAAGACTCAGCTCTTCCAAACAGCTGCAGGTTTTTAAGCTAGCAGGGACTTCCATTATCATACACCATTTCCCAAATAACATACATTACAGAACCGCACACACCTGCTCTACAGTGAAAGGATCTCATGTACACTGCACCCCAAATTGCACTACAGATCTCTCTGAACCAGAAGAAACTCATCTCGGTACATCTGTAAGAGACAACCATGAGCTGCAGAATGACACAAGCAGCTTTCCTTTAAACAGTGGAATGGCATAGCCATGTTTGACTACAGCAATAAAGCTGTGACACAAGTTTTACCACTCTGGGTGTGCTGCTGTACAAAACCACCACGCACGCTCTGCACTTCTCCCTCCTCAGCACAGGTACAGGTGCCAGATAATGCTCTATGAGTAGGCATGTCTGTATTTTTATGAGTGCATGAGTGAGCACAAGAACAGGCATTTGATTGAGAAGATTTAGTTCAGAAAGATCTCTTCATCAGGAAAGGTCACCTATGGCAAGGGTTACGCAGCTCAATCATCTCAGGGCTTGTGTGCATCAAACACACATAAAGTAATCTTCACTTCATCTCGAATGCTAAAATGATTTGTATCTCATAACAGTGTATTGATAAATGTGTGGGAGTAATGCACGCCTCAGTGACTCGCAGAATCATTACATGAACATAATTAGATCTCCTCTCCTTGGCCAAGTCTCAAAAGGCTCTATTTAGCACACACAAAAAAATTACCATGTTAAAAAAAAAAAAAAAAGGTCTTTTAAGTACAATCAAAATGTTAAAAGATAAAATTCTAAGGACCTGCTGTGATAAGGTTTATATCTCCAGTGTGTCACTACAGCACTGTAATGAGGAAGCCACTGCATAAACTGCAAATCATTCATGTACCCTGCTTCACATATTCAGAGTGCAATATAAACATTAAACTCATTAGTCTACATATGCTCTTACTAAGTAGACAGCAAACCTTCTAGAAATTATTTTACTTGGCTGAGGGCACAATGAGATGAATTGTGCAGCTGATGATCCAAATAAATAATTATCACCCCTGCACATACCTCCAGGTGTTTGCTGGGGCGATGGAGGGCAGTCGCTGTCTCTCAGTAACGCTATTGTCAGTGTTTGCCTCACCAGTTTGTAACCTGGCTCTGCAAAGTCTTTTGCATGAATAAAAATCTAGCCACTAGAACACCTCTGATGATTCAACAGAACTGGCTTAGTGATGAGATGGAGAGCTACACCACCAGCAGTGCCACAGCACCACCTTTTACAGCTCGTTTGACTGTACCCAACATGGGAAGAGAGGTAGCAAAATCCTCGAAAGAGGCATATGACTGCCTGGAGAGACAGGAATTTGTGAAGGTATGTCCAGACGAGCAGTTTGCCATCAGGCTCATTAGTCACTGTTCAAAACACACAAAAGGGCTAGTTTAGAAATTATTCCCTATTTTAAAGATTCCTGACAGCACATCCCTGGAGTCCTAATTTGGGGAAAAAACAATGACAAGATATTACAAGACTTCAGAAGGCGTTCAGGGTTTTCTTTTGGTTTATGTGCCTATGCCTAGCTCTGACAGACATGTTCCCACCGGCCAGGAAAGAGATCACCGAGCTAACACTGCATTCCTCTTCCATGTCAAAAACCAGTACCAGGACTTGGGAACAGGATGGCAACCTGCTTACACCATGTCTGGTGCAAAGCTTAGCAGACATCCATTACCAGCAGAGACCTGACTCCTTGTCCCTTTGGTGATAACGGGATCTCACTGCTTCTTCCCATCAAAAAAAAAAAAGGGGGGAGGGGAAAAGCAGCCTGTGGATCTTAATGTGCAAACAGAACTACCTTGTGCAAATAAGGGCATTTTGCTTTACTTATTTTAGCTTCCTGCTGGAGCTCAGGGGGTCTTCTGCTGAATCAGCACACACAGCTTTCCTGAGCATGTATGACTTTGAAGGTCACTAATATAATTGGAGCAATTCAAGCTCTAATCACCAAAGAGCACTGAGAAGTTTCAGGTGCAAAAATCTCATGTGCAAAGCTCAGAGAGCTGCTAATTGTAACCTTTTGCCCTTAAATTTTAAGTTTTTCAACATCGAACATTGGCTGCCATCAACAGGACTCTCAGAACCTGATCTGGAATGTTTCATTCATACATTTGGTCAGAAAACACAAACACGCAGAACCCAAAAATTCTTGGGACAACATGTCACTTTCTAGAGGCATGAAATTTATGGCCAGACAGATGGACTGTGAGCCTCTCAGTGTCCCATCCTCTGCAGGTGGTATTCCACTTCATCTGAATGATAAATATTAATGGTGCTATAGAAAGAAATCACCTACACTCAATGGTTAAGGCACTTATTGTGCCTTACTAGGGATACCAACACTAGGGAATATTTAATCCTACAGCATGAACAGTTTCAACAGAAAAAAAACGAGAGGACCTTAAGCCCAAGCAGCTAATAATCACTTGCAGAAGTACATTGCAGTCTGTGATTGACAAGCAACCCATTCCCAATTCAGACTAGAAACCAGAAATTAAGTCTCACACACTCCAGATGAATCCAATCACAAGATTACTCACTATATTGTGTTGGCATATTTAGAATAGATCCTGCCAGCTCTTCCTCTTTGTAGTTGGTTTATACATACATACATATCTATCTATCTATCTTTGCATACATACCTACACTTATATTTAAATGAAATGTTTAATTATATATATTTATGTATGTAAGTGTGCGCTTACTCACTTCTAAAGAAAATTAGGCTTAAAGGAGCACCCAGCTGTTGCTTTTTTGCATCTCTGCCGAGAACAGGCTGCCTGAACTCAAAACACAAATTATTTGAAGTTGGCTGGAACAATACGAAAAAAGGCTTATTCTGGGAATAAATAGTTGGCCAAGTTAGAGAATAGGAAAAATTAGAATTCCTACATTGTCAAAAACATTGTCATTATCTTTTACTGACATAAATGTTTCTGTCTGGAAAGCTGCTTAATGATTCTGTTACAAGAATTACTTTTAAAAGCCCACGTATAACTCTGAACATGCTAAAGAACAAAAAAAAATACCAAAACAACACTTCACTATGTATGCTATATGCTTTACTATGCAAATATCTTTCTATATCCAGTTTTGAACATATAAAAAAATGAAAAATAACGTATACATCTTAACTACTAGGTCATAATGGACAATAAAAACACTCACTTCCATGTGATGCTGCCTACAATGAGGACAGTGACAACTCACGAGAAATCTCATGATGTCCCGTGCATGGAATGTATCACAGCTGCTACACACACAGAATTAGCACAGAACTAGTCTTCCTGCAGTACAAATACTTCAGTGACATGATAAACTCACTCAGCCATTAGTCCAATGACTGTATGAAAAATTTAAAGTATTAAAAGTACCACTTAATACATGAAACTAAAATTCAATGACTGATCTCTGCATGTGTGTTGTTTTCTACACAGATTTGAAAAATGTTTTTAAAATATTAAAAATGTACATGTAAAACTTTTTTCCCACTCTCATATACACTTTGTTAAGTATTCTGGATTATTTTTCTTCTTATTATCCTCAGGTGTTATTGAATTCACAATTATTTCAGAAGGACACTATTTTGGAAATTGAGTGACAGCACTCTAGCGCTCTGCCTGTGCTAAGGAGTCCAGACTGCAAAGCGGAGAGAAAAGACATGGTCACACTTCCAGTACACGCAGTCAAAAATAGTGGTGTCAGCACAGATGGAAGGAAGGCAGGGACACCCAGGAGGGGTGTTAAGGAGGTGGAAGCGATCGGCGGAATTTGCACAAACAGGAGAAAATGGAATTTACAGGATCCAGCTGGACCTATGCTGGAGACTAGCAGAGAGAGAAAAGCCAAGGCAAGAAAAGATACAGAATTTGCACCAGGTTGGAAAAAGTTTTTCCTCCCCTGCACCCACAAAAAGCCTCTGCCTCTGAAACAGGAA